AAGTTGGGCTCCACACTGGGCACGGAGCCTACTTAAAAAAGTGATAATGAAATAAGGTAAAACTGGGGCTCCTGGGTGGCTCAGTCGTTAAGCGCCTGCCTTCGGCTCGGGTCATGATCCCAGGGTCCTGGGATCGAGCCCCGCATCGGGCTCCCTGCTCCTCGGGAAGCCTGCTTCTCCCTCTCCCACTCCCCCTGCTTGTGTTCCCTCTCTCGCTGTGTCTCTCTCTGTCAAATAAATAAAATCTTTTAAAAAAATTTAAAAAAAAAGAAATAAGGTAAAACTAATGTGGCCACCTAGAAAGGTCTAATGGGCTCAAGGGTTTTAAAACAAGGTGTATTGGTTGGTTCAATCTGACACCATTTCTGATGTGTGTTTTTTCCACGCCACCAAGCAATTAACTCACTTCTGACATTTCTGATCTACCTGGACATAGCGTCAGATCCCACAAGTTGAGGGCTCAGTCCCATAAGACCGTCCCCCTTCTTCATCAGATGCCAACTGCAAACCCAGGTGCCTGTTACCTGTACTTCTGACCAACCGGCTATAGACCAGTGGTTCCCACGATACCCAGCTTGGGTTGGATTAATCTGCTACAGTGGCTCACAGAACTGAAAGTAAATAGTTTGCTCAGTAGATCACTGGTTTATTATAAAAGGATGTAACTCATGATGGACAGCCAGATGGAAGAGGTGCATAGGGCAAGGCCTGGGGAAAGGGTGCGGAGCTTCTCCCAGCGAGCCACTCTCTCCAGCTCTCTGCATGTTCACCCACCCGGAAGCTCTTCCAACTCTGTCCTTTTGGGTTTTTATGGAGGCTTCATTATATAGGCACGATTGATTGACTAGGTCACTGGCCGTTGGTGAACTCAACCTTCAGCCCCTCTCCCCTCTCCAGAGGTCAGGAGGTAGGAACTGAAAATTCCAACCCTCCAATCACAGGGTTGTTCTCTAGGCAGCCTGCCCCCCTCCCCTTCCACCCCACGCCTCAAGTGTTTTCCAAAGGTCACATCGTTAATATAACAAAAGACATACCTTTCTGTTCTCTTCACTTAGGAAATTCCGAGGGTTTTAAGAGCTCTTTGCCTGGAAGGGGAACAAGACCACATATATATTTCTCATTATAAATCACAGTATCACAGTTGGCTAAGGTTCTTCTGGAGTAAATAAGCCTCGCTAGCTTAAGCAACAAAAGACCGTTTATGGGAAGGATCCTGGGGTGTGTCATGGAATTCCAGCATCAGGAGGAATAAGAATCAGGGAATTGTGGGGAACCACAGCAGCTGGAGGTTGGGGGCCTACTTTTCAGGGTACACATTAACATGACTCCACCTTCATCTCTCATCTTCGCTCTTTGCTGTGTGTGTCTATGTACAGGCTTTCCCTCCTTCCCAGAGAACGTGACTGAAAATAGACTCCCCCGAGAGCTTCAAGTGCATGTCACTGATTCCACCATTTTGAAAGAGAAGGCCCTTGTGCTCGTGCGCTCTCTCTCTCTCTCTCTCACCCTCTCTTTCTCTTTACCAAATTGAGATTCCCGGGAAGGAACTGACTGATCCAGTTTGGATCCCGTGTTTACTTCCAGACCAGTTAGCTGTAGCCAAGGTTGGTGCTACACATTCAAGCATGACCCCCTGTAACCGCCTTGGCCATAAACCGCACACGACGGGGTGAACGTTCCCAGGGAGGGGCTGGCTACGTAGACAGTCCAGTAGTAGTTTCCAGCCCAAATGAGCATAGAAGCAAGGACAGATGTCGCCTGCAGGAAAGACCAAGGCCCGCAGCGGGCTCCCAGCAGCAATGTCAGCAGTAGCAAACTATGACCAGACCAAACCACAAAAAGAATCAAGAGAAGATAAAGACCATGAAATATCAACAAATGTTAGAGAGGAAGACTAAGAATTCCAAGTTCATCATTCTGGAGAATCTCTTCAAACTAGACAGGATAGGACAGATAAGCCTAAGATGACATTCCCTGCCTTCTGTCTCACCGTAATAAATAAACATTCAGAGCTCCACAAAACTATAAACGTTATAGTTGATGTTGATTGAAATCCCATGCACTTGTTTGTTTGTTAAAGATTTTATTTATTTATTTGACACAGAGATAGAGCACAAGCAGGGAAAAAAGCAGAGGGAGAGGGATAAGCAGGTTCCCCACTGAGCAGGAGCCCCATGCACGGCTCCATCCCAGGACCCCAGGACCATGACCTGAGCTGAAGGCAGATGCTTAACCAACTGAGCCACCCAGGCGTCCCTAAATCCCATGCACTTGTGATCATTATATGGCCTCATAATAAATTCAAAGTCAGTCTTAGGTTCAAAGGATCAGTTGTGGTTCATGAAGTGACTTGATAGCAGATATGAGAAAAAAAAATCTGGGTTGTCTTGTCCATAAGCTGATTACAAGTTCCCAGTAATAAGAGCTAACTGCCAAAGAGCACCAAACATACTCTAAAAAAGCATACGTATAAGGGTGCCTGGGTGGCTCAGTCGTTAAGCGTCTGCCTTCGGCTCAGGTCATGATCCCAGGGTCCTGGGATCGAGTCCCACATCGGGCTCCCTGCTCGGCGGGGAGCCTGCTTCTCCCTCTCCCACTCCCCCTGCTTGTGTTCCTGCTCTCGCTGTCTCTCTCTCTGTCAAATAAATAAATAAAATCTTAAAAAAAAAAAGTATACGTATATATATAAAATAAATTATATGTATATGTTGTATGTATGTGTATACACACACAATTTCTAGGTTGCGAGGAGGTTGTGAGTGTGTGTGTGTGTGTGTGTGTGTGTGTGGTCATATGAATAACAGTTGGGAAGTATAGGAAAGCACAAAGAAGAAAGTAGAAGTTAGCCATGATTTCTCGAGGCAGTGCCAACCTCTGAATGTTTCGGTAGGATCCCCTCCTGGACATTTATGCTCATGTGCATGAGGTCTTTTGGCTTTCAGGACTGGTTCTTGGCCACACATAGTTTGAGAAGCACTGGCCTACTCCATCTGTGCCTTTCTTTAGACAAAACTGCGTGTTCCAGGGGTGCCTGGGGTGGCTCAGTTGGTTAAGCATCCAACTCTTGATTTCAGCTCAGGTCCTGATCTCAGGGTCCTGGGATCCAGCCCCCGATCTGGCTCCCCACCCAGGGAGGAGTCTGCTTCCTTCCTTCTCTCTCTCTCTCTCTCTGCCTGCCCGCCCCCCGCTTGCACAAACTGTCTCTCTCTCTCAAATAAAAAAAAAAATCTTAAAAAACAAAACAAAACTGCTTGTTCCAAAGAGGACTCTGCCACAACTGTGGCCACTTGCAAGGGTCACTTCTAAAATAAGCACCTGCTTGTTTTGCTAAAAGTGGGAAAATTTGAACTTGGTGTGGAGGGATAAGCAGGAGTAGACTTCCGTCTTTCGTTAGGAACAAAGGAAGTCAGTGTAGGATTTTAAAGCAGAGAAATGGCATGATCAGACTTATTTTTTTAAAGGAATGGGCAAGACAGGGCACAGAAAGGTGAGTTGGGAGGTGGTTGCAGTTGCCGGGTCAGGAATTGATGGTGTTTTAGGGTGGTGTTGGTGGGGATAAAGAAACGTCAACAGATTCAAGAGATTTTGTTAAAAGTGAAGCTTGAATACATGTGTCAGGAGGTGAAGGAGAGAATTACCTTATTCCATGGTTTGGCTTTGTTTCCTGTATGTCTTCATACCGATGGTTTTTCAAGATAATCAGGTTTCTGTGCTATTTACTTAAATAAATGATAGGTAAACGGTTGAACGGCTTCTATTTGCTTTTATTACACAGTCTGCTTACTGTCAGCTCTGACTTTACCTGAATACCCTGCGCCTTTTAATTATATTTCCACAACAACAAAAAATCAATCTAAATACTTAGCAGGCTTTATTGAAAATATCAGTTTGCCAGAAATACACAGGTATAAAACCATTGTTCATTACATATGTGGGAGCTTACTAATATGACTGCTAATATTTTATATCTACTATATCACCATCAATTCAAAAAATGTAGAAACAACACCAAAGGGTGGTAAGTAGCCAAGAAATGATTCTTGTTTTCTCCATTACTTAAAAACAAAACAAAACAAAACAAAACACACTTTACTGGAGGCGTAATGTACACATAATAAAATGTACCCATCTTCAGTGAGGGGAAAAAAAAGTAGGAAGGATAGAATCTTAGAAGATAGAACTGTTATTAAAACCAAACAGATTTAGTTTTTGAAAACTTCATGCATGTCCTTTAGTTTTCTCTTTTTACCATGCATTGGTGAACGTGATCTCGGGGCTGGTCTACAGGTAGAATTTGCATTCCACCCACCGTTCTAGGAGTGGCTGAGAAAGGAGAAGTCTTCTCCAAACAGAGCAGGCAGGGGAGGAAAAACAATTTTCCCTCTACCCTTCTAGAACTCTACCTCCCCCCATCAATAAAAGACAGATTAACAGGAGAAAAAGAAAACAATTTTAATTACATAGCACACACAGGAGCCCCACAAAGATGAGACACGAAGGCAGCCAGATGTTTGAGGCTTCTGCACCCTTCTGAGTTAAGGAAAGGGCTCGGTGTCCGCGGCTGCCAAGGGCGGGGGTGGGAAGCCACCAGGCAAGTGAGAGGAGGAACTGTTTGGTAAACAAAGGCTGCCCTGCCCAAACCTCAGGCTCTCTCTCTGGTGAAAAGGTGATCTCTGGTCAGAGCTGCCTTCCTGGTAGGGGCCCCTTTTCTAATGTAAATCTCCCTTACAAAAGGGTGACTCCCGCTGTTTTCAGAGCTTCTCCCGAGCGGTAGTTTCCTGAAAATAATCGGTTCAAAATAATAAGGGTGCCAAAGAGGACTATTTTGGGTGGTGTATCCTGCCACCCTCCAACAGAGCCAATGCCAGAGCTAGCCCGTCACCAGCTGAGGCGCACGGTCATAGCTGTGGGGTGAGGAGGGGAACTCTTCTTTTGTGTTCATTTATTTCTCCATTATTACCTCTCACCTGTCCACTTTTCTCCTTTTTGACCCTGTTTAGCTTATCAGCTGATCACTGTGGTGATCGCAGCAGCAGGAGGTGGGCTGCTTCTTATTCTAGGCATCGCGCTGATTGTTACCTGCTGCCGGTGAGTGAGTGACTGGGGGGTTCACATTCTAATTCTCTTTGCCTCTGCTAAGCAAGGGTCAGTGTTTATTTTAAAGAAGGTTTGGGCTGCTTTACAGTACTAAATCATCCTGTGTGACTGAACCATTAAAAAAAGGAGAAAAGGAAATTCTTGATAGATAGTGCCATTGAGAAAAGACAACAAACGGGACTCTTATTTCCTTTACTAAAAAAGAATATCCCCAAGCACAAGCAACAAAAAAGTGATAGATTGGATGTCATCAAAATTAAAAACTCCTGTGCTTCAAAGAACCCGATCAAGAAAGTGAAAATACAACCTAGGGAACAGGAGAAAGTATTTGAAAATCATATTTCTACTAAGGAACTTGTGTCTAGAATATATAAAGAATTCTTACAACTCAATAATAAAAAGGCAACCGCATTTAAAAATGGGCAAAGAACTTGAATAGGCATTTCACCAAAGGAGATGAACAAATGGCCAGGAGACACATGAAAGGATGCTCCACATCATTAGCCATCAGGGAAATACAAGCAAAATTGGGAAACCCACTAAGATGCCTATTTAAAAAACAAGAGGGGAGTGGGGGGATGGGGTAACTGGGTGATGGACGTTAAGGAGGGCATGTGATGTAATGAGCACTGGGTGTTACATATATGACTGATGACTCACTCACTGACCTCCAGCTCTGAAACCAGTAATATATTATATGTTGATTAATTGAATTTAAATAAAAAATAAAAATAAATAAAAATAAAAAACAAGGAAACAGTAAACATTGGTGAGGCTGTGGAAGAATTAGAATGCTCCTACTCTGCTGGCAGAAACATAAAATGGTGCAGCCCCTCTGAAAAAGTCTGTCAGTTCCTCAGGAAGTTAAACACAGCGTCGCCATATGACCCAGCACCTCCACTCTGACGTACATACCACGAGAAGTGAGTATGTGTGTTCACACAGAAACATGTACAAAAGATCACCTATTGTATGATTCCGTTTATATGAAATGTCCAAAATAGGCAAATCTAATAGGGCCAGAAGGTAGATTAGTGATTGCCTAGGGCTGGCAGGTGGGGGGTGGGAATTGGGGAGTAAGGGGTAAGGGGTTTCTGTTTGGGTGATGAAACTGTTGTAAAAATTGATTGTGATGATGGCTGCACAGTTCTGAATATACTAAAACCATCGGCTTACATACTTCAAATGAGCAAATTTAGAAGCAAACAAAGGTGAAGGGGTTAGCTGAGCTATTTTGGCAGTAAGCAAGCTATAGCAGGCACATGGGGTGAGCAGATGCTCAGCAGCATGCTTGGCTTTGGGCCGCTTGGAAGCCAGTGCATTGGGAAAAGGAAGAGTAAGGAAGAAGTTGGTCCCCTTTCTCGGTAATTATCTAGTCAGATAAGGGAAAACTATGACCTTTGATTTAGATGATTATAAACGGCAGGAATTTTTCTGACGTAACAGATGGAGGAAACCTACCGAAAGAGCAAGTTATCTTTTCGACCGTTGATACGAAGGTATCAATGGGAAGATACCTTTCACCTCCAGTAAGGCTGCAGAGAGCAGTTTGCCCCAACTGCCCATCCGGGAATACAGGCCTCGTGGTACTGCATTTACCTGTCATTTGCAGAGTTGCCACCAGATCATCAAACCATGAGTGGAAATAAAATCCTGGGTAGGAGACTAGAAGCTAGAGGGATTAAACCTCAAGGGGATGTAAGCCTCATATTTGCTAAGTGTCCGAGAACCAGGTAGTGTGACCGCCTGGAGAAGGAGCTGGTGACTATGGGCTTTGGCAAAAGGGAAGGTGGTCGTGAATTAGTTAAGTCATTGTTTGAAAAACGGATGCCCCACCCTCCAGGGAGCAACACAGTGGCAGGTCTGTTCTTGAACTTACAAGAAGGGACAACGCCTAGGCCACATGCTGGACATTTGGTTTTATGACCATGAGTCATTTTGTGCCTTCCCAGAAGGTTTATTTATAGGAAAGTGAGGTAAGAAGGAAGAAACTTCAGATTAACTTACCTAGGGCAAATATAACTAAAAATGTCTGATCCTAGGCCCATTCCATAGGTAAATCACACATATTTCCACCATTTCCAGCCAGGGAACCCTGACAAGTAGGGGCTTGTCCTGGGCTTTCCCTGACCTGTGGAAATGAGAATATGTATGGGTAAAATAAACAGGTGGGCATTTTTGCAAAGGAGACAACCTGGTTTTATAGTCAGTGGAGTAGCTTCATGTGGTTAAAGGGCCCTGGCTGGCGAGGTAGGAGGCCTGCACTCTCGTCCTAGCTTTGCTAGTAGCAAAGTGTGACCTGGGGAACAAGTCTCATCTTTTTGCAAAGCCAGAGCCATCCCATCCCCAGAGCTCCTCTCTTAGTAAATCTTGGTGGGACCTACAAGCTTCCGTGTGCATTCTGATGCTCAAGCAGGTTTAGAACCATTGGATTATAGAATCCTAAAGGCCTTTGGCTCCAGCATTCTGGGAATTTATGACTCTGATTTCCCTGGCTGCCCCCAAGATGCAGCGACCTCTGTCCCCTGCAAAACACTGCTTCACTATAGATAGCTGTGTTGGTCCTCTCTGTCCGTGGTAACCTGTCCCTTCCAGTTGGAAGATTTTTTTTTTGCATTTTTTTTTTGCATCTAATTGCATTTTTACTTGTTTCAGGCAAAATATAACAATAATGCCATTTTTCAGTGGGCATTTACAAAAGAATGTAACGGTTAGCTTTCCATCTAATTTACCTTCTAAAATAATAAAACGTGCTTTCATACATATCATTTCTTTACAACTTGTTCATTTAAGTTGTGAACTATTTTCCATTCCACAGAAAGAGTAAAAATGACATAAGCAAACTCATCTTCAAAAGTGGAGATTTCCAAATGTCCCCATATGCCGAGTACCCCAAAAACCCTCGCTCACAAGAATGGGGCCGAGAAGCTATTGAAATGCATGAGAACGGAAGTACCAAAAACCTCCTCCAGATGACGGATGTATATTACTCGGTGCGTATCGCTGTGCCCAGGGCAACTCAGGCTCTGATTCCCTCTGAGAAGTACAGGGATTGTGTTTTGTAGCAAAATTAAGATACTTCAGCTGCTTAAGGGTTAAAGAGAATGGTGGCCTGAGCCTCTTATTTACATAATTTAATATTCAATTTACTTACAATCTATTTGCATGGTAGTTGTTAGTTTTGACATCAAGATCATGAAGGCTATTTCCACCAAGCACCTTACTTTTATGGGGTTGTAGCAATAACCCTTCCTGTGACCAAATTTGCTTCTAAGTTATAAGATTGGAAACTGAAAGATAACAGAAAGAATTTAGTGATACTTAGCCTGTGGCCCTTGCATTTTCATCTCATCTCTTATATGCCATGCTTTACCTCTTGTGGTTGGGAGATTGGAAACTGGTATAAAGAGAACAACTCAGTGTCGTCGTCAGCAAGCACTTCTCAGAGGTTTAGGAGAATGTTCATTCAGTATAGGTCTTCCACAGCTGGCTCCATCCAGCCCCGGACTGCATCATTTGGAAAGATGGTAGACCACCTTGAACCCTGGCTCCTTCTGTCCCACATCGAATAACCCGTGAGCTGCCCGGTTCATTTGACATCACGTGGCAAACACAAACGGGGCTATCTGACCTGAAAAGTAAACAGACGTAGGTGACTTCTCATCCCACGTGGACTTCTTTGAGGTAGCAAAACATGAAACCTTGCCCCGTGGGGACTTAATAGCCCTGTGACAGAAGTCACAACCCTGCTAGTTGCTATGGGGATGAACCCTGAGGGTTCAGACTTTGGATGGGAGAGGTTCATGCTAAGGAAGCTGTTGTTTCCGTTGATGGACCCTTTGAAAACTTGAAACTGGAGGAAGAGCAAGAAGAAATAAGGGGAAAGATAAACGTAGACACAAACCTAGCGCTGGGCTTAAGTGTTGATGTTTCCACCCAAGTGCTTTGCTGTATTCTCCGTCCGGGAAGCCCTGTTACTCACACGGCCGCCCGGTATCTGCAGGGCCTGCTGCGTGAGCAGGTGTGCTCACACCCCCACACCGTTCGCTAGGGACCCCTCCCCCGCACTGGCGGGGTCACATAGGGACAGACAGACCCGTGGCATCGGAGGACCAACCGCACCGTGTTTCCATGGAGTTAGCCCAAGAGTTGCCTTAAGTAGAAATAATCAAGAACTGGGCGCCTGGGTGGCTCAGCTGGTTAAGCGACTGCCTTCGGCTCAGGTCATGATCCTGGAGTCCCTGGATCGAGTCCCGCATCGGGCTCCCTGCTCAGCGGGGAGTCTGCTTCTCCCTCTGACCCTCCTCCCTCTCATGCTCTCTCTCTCTCTTTCTCTCTCTCTCAAATAAATAAATAAAATCTTTAAAAAAATAAATAAATAATCAAGAACTTAAACCAGCCCCATCTTCCTTTCAGAAATGGGCTGAGCAGTCCATAGAAGCAGAGCCTATGCTTAGGATATGAAGCTGCCCCCCTGTGAGAAGGCTGTCCCTCACAGTGGCCTCAGGTGTACCTTGGGCACTCCTGGGATCCACGTTCATTATATGCTGTCTCCAGTGTTTTATTTCTGCCAGGCAAGCATTTTCTCCTGGTGGGCCTCATTGAGGGCCTCCTCAAGGTAGCCGTGTCATTCCCTGCGAGCTGCTTTTGCGCATCAGCTAGGTAGTCATGATGGGCTAGGCCGGGATCTGGTCAGAGACGGCTGCCAATCGCTGGTGGCCTCTCGCTCTGGGGTCCTAACTCCACCTTTGACACGTGGTCCTATGTCCTTGTAAAAGTCAGTTCCCCGTTCGTGGCAGGGACATTGGTGTTCTGCTAAATGCCAGAGAGGATTTAAAGCCATAGTGCTCCACAGGGAAAGACACTTTTTTTTTTTTACAGTCAAGATAATCAGGTAACAATCTTGATGGTAATTAGGATAATTAGCCCAGGTCTGTTCCTATGTTGGTGGGCTGCCCTTGATCGTTTTTTTTTTTTTTAGATCTCCTTTGAAAATATGAGCAAAGGTATCCCAGGTTCCACGGAGAGAGGGCCTGGGAGATCCCGACTTCTAGGTTAGACCCTGCTCCGCTCTGGTTAGCTGTCTCTGTCTTAGGTTTATTAAAACATAGCATTCTTTTTTCTTTTTTTTTTCAAAGAAAAAAACCATTAAATTTAAATCCACAAACAAGGGCGCCTGGGTGGCTCAGATGGTTGAGCGTCTGCCTTCGGCTCAGGTCATGATCTCAGGGTCCTGGGATCGAGTCCCGCATCGGGCTCCCTGCTCCTTGGGAGCCTGCTTCTCCCTCTGCCTTTCTCTCTCGCTCTGTCTCTCATGAATAAAAAAATAATAATAATAAATCCACAAGTAATAAATGGACTTTTCTTCTTTTCTCTCTGGCCGCCAGCCCACAAGTGTAAGGAATCCTGAACTTGAACGCAATGGACTCTACCCGGCCTACACTGGACTGCCGGGGTCACGGCACTCGTGCATTTTCCCTGGACAGTATAACCCATCTTTCATCAGTGATGAGAGCAGGCGAAGAGACTACTTCTAAGTGCGCAAGACAGAGGGGGCGCCCAGCACTCTGAGCAAGTTTTGGGCCCTCAGCTGCTCGGAGGACTGCAGCAGGGGGGAGCGTGCTCACCGGCTGCCCCCAGGACTCTTGGACGCACACTGCAGTGGCGAGCGGGAAGCGGGACAGGCGTGAGGGGCGTGACCGCAGGGGAAGGGCACGGATGGATCCGGGACGTGGGACTGGGGGCCGCTCCTTGGGCACCTTCGCCCTTACTGTGAACGTGAACGTGGGCCAGTCCCGGGAGTCTCTGAGTGCCGTCGCCGCCCCCGGGCTGACCCGCAGCCAGGGCACGTCGTCAGGCGCCTTCGCCAGGACCCAGTCTTTCCGTAGTTTGCACTTTAGTAAATTGGATAGGGAGGTCTCCTTTCGGATTTTTTCCAAGACTGTTCCAAAAAGAAGGCCTCTTTTCCTCAGACACTCCCGTAGGCCTCGACCTGTGATTGATTTACCGCAAAATACAGGCTCTTTCGTTGTTTTCCTGCCCGGTATCTCCGTGCTAAACAACAGATGATGATGATGAACATACCACTAAGGTTTGGAGATGCTGCAGGTGAGCATACAGCATTTTAGCAGGTTCTAGGTCTTATGCAGTTTCCAAGCCCACCCTCAAAATGAGGAACTGAAATGTGGGAGGCATAGCACACACTCCATTTTTTAGTCAAGGTGACATTTCTTTAAGATTATATTTTCCCTCTGCAGTTAAGGGCAAAACAAGTTGCATTTGCTTTTAATTAGAGGCCTCCCGCCGCCGGTAGTGAGGCCGGGCAGGCCGCGCCGGGCTCGGGGCCCTGGGGGGAGGAGGCCCGGAGGGTCACAGAGCCGCAGGCCGTGGGGCGCTTCTCATCCCGGAGGGCATCGCCCAGTGCTGGTCCCGGGGAGTGTGACCCCCCCCGAGGCCGAAGCTGCCGTGTCTGTGCAGTAGAAATGGGAAGCTGAATGCAGCCTGGGCCCGAGTGGGTATTCCACCGCTGAAGGAGAAGCGGTGGGATGTGGCTAGAGGACTGGGCTGACCGGGCACGTTCCGCTTCCTGAAACCCCCGCGCTTTGGGAAGCCGTGCGGGTTCCTGAGGAAGACCCGAGAGCTGGGACAGAGCCACACGTCCGTGAGTCTGCTTCCCTCCTGGGGCCGCTTCTGTGATCCTATCCCGCATCTTGTCCACAAACTCAGTGTCCACTTTCAACCAACGGCCCAGAGCTGTTTATTCACTGAAGAGATAACTTATTTTCTCTCATGCAGTAATTTGTCCCCCTTTATACTACTGCCGAGTTCCCTCCAGAAACATAATTTAAGTCCGCATTGGAGAACGAAAGACTTCCGGCCAGTTAAGGAGTTGAGAGTTTGCCTTTGGGAAGGAAATGCCACATGTCTTATTTATTATGCCTGTGACATGGGTCCTGTGGGGTAGGGGGGGCATCCCCAGGGCACGGTGTCTTTACCTGCTATTTGTGGAACTGCGATTATTCCCGCCATGTGCTTTTGACACATCCTGGTTTGGGATGAAGTAGAACACAGTGGTAAAGAATCGTTCCCACCCTGAAGCTTGGAGCTCAGGGGCACCCACATTTCTGGAAGCCGTCTAGCCTTTGGGGACAGTTCTGTCCTGGGCATGGTTGTTTCTTCAGAGTTCTCTTTTTATCTCTTCAGAGTGTATCTCACCCTTACTGTTCTGTAACCCTTGTCCTTAGAGTTTTAAGTGTCAACTCCTGTGTCCCATGGTCTCCACGAGCCACCATCACCCTGCTGCTGCAGGAACACAAGTCGGGTGTGATGCTTTTTAGTCATTACATTGGACTCATCTCCTGAGATACAAATTCAGCGGATGGCACCTTCAAATTTCAGAGCATCACCTTTCTGAAACCTTTGGGTCTTGCAGCTCTCTGGGGAAGCCTCTGGTCTCACATCTACCTGGAGAGCTCCGAGCTCCTGCCCTCCGCTCACCCTAGCCAACAGGCTTGGCTCCCTCATGAGGTGGCCTCGCTTCCTGGCTCTTGATGCAGATCCTTGCTCATCCCCAGAACCCAGAGCCACGGGGGGGGGGGGGGGGGGGCTGTTCCCAAGCATACTCAGCTAAAGGTGTCAGATGCTATCTCAGCTGACAGACCATCTCCTGTGTCAGGACCAGAAGCTATAAGCTACACAGAATGAAGCGTGCTGTCTCAGAAGCATTCTTGAGAAGACTCGCAAAGTCCAGAAAAGAGTGTCTTGTGAGTTCCGAGAATGCTTCGCTTTGAGTAGGTTTTGTGCATGTGAAGTGGATTAAGAATGTCGTTTTTCTTTTACTGTGAAAAAAGGAGGCCCCCGACAGTGTTAGGTTCAAATGTATCTCACTTCTAGGAGGCTGTGGGGTTGGGAAACGGTATCTCAAGAGCAGGAGGGTCTAAGAAGGCATGAAAACAGCGTGACGGTTACCCAGTTACACGTTAGCTGCCCACCCTGAGTGAGGAGAGGGGAGGCTGGCTGCACCCCTGTCTGGGCTTAATACCTCCCAAAGGGCCCTGTCTGGGCCGAGGGCAAACATCCAGGACAGCAGCAGCCTCTGGACTGGAGGGACAGGCCTGGGGGCACCCCTGGGAAGCAGAAGCTCTCACTTCCGGCACAGGTGCTCCGTGTCAGCCCCTGCACCTGGAATGTGTGCCTCGTGGCCACAGGAATACCACAGTCCTGCCTCGCTGGGGCCCCACAGCTAGGGGAAGGTGGAAGGGAAAAGGGACACTTAACTGCTCATGAGAGGCTTCACCTTCTGGAGGGCCTGGCGGGGCCGAACGGAAGCCATGTGTCCTGTAGCATGCGGTGGCACCACACCGTGACTCAGAGCAGAACGGGGTTCCCTGCCAGCTTCCCAGCCACTGTGGGTTTTGTTGAAGCTCCAGGGAGTCTTCTTTCTCCTGTCTTTTCCTCTTGGCCCCATGAGCCAGCCCAGGGCCCTAAAGACCATTGATGAAGTCTACCTGTCGTGACCAGAATCTCTGGTGTTCCCCCCCCATGACCAGGCTCTGTGCAGGGTCCTTGGCCTCACCACACCCTGGTGAAGTGTGCATGAGAGTGTCTGTTTCTTGCACACGTGAACTTTCAGAGAGGATGAATATCTTGCCTTAGAGAGCCAGGATTCAAATCCTTCTCCCTTTCTTGCCTTCCTGGTGAATGCTTCACCATCCAAATGGACCTGACATGTCAAAGACGGCAGGAGAGAGTGGGCTTACAAAATACTTTTTTTTTTAAGAACCTTAACATTATTAAGCATCAACTGAACTAATGATATGAAATGCAAAAAAAAATGAATCCTTTTTGAAAAGGTCCTTTTGGGTTCATCGCATATAATTGCATCTATTTTTTGGACACGTGAGGTCATCATTAAGAGAAGAGTGGCTTGTGTTTAGCGAGAAGTGTACTGGTACGTGGCTTTGGGTGTAGGAAGGGTGAGGTGATGACCCGGGTTTTTGACAAACGCAGCCAGACTTAGATGCCCATCTGAGGGCTGCTTCGCCTTGTATTAGAAGCATATTTTTGTGAACGTGATCAGAGTCGTGAACATATTCAGTTGAATGTTTTAAATGCTGACAAATCTTCCTCCTTTGATGAAAATTTATTTTCAGAAGCAGCTAAGTCATTTAGAGCCAAATTTGTTGAATGGATAGTGTAATCAAGCTGGCTGCTAGCATTTGGAATTATAAACAAAGATGTGACTATTAAGTTCTCGAAGAGGTAATTCTTAAAGTTGGTCCCAACAGAAGGCAGCATCTTTGCAGTACAAGGCTGGATGGCTGCCCAAGAAAAGGTTTTTGAGGGATGATATTTATTCAGATGTGGAAGCTCCCAGAGCAGGCACATTAGGGTCATTCCTCACATGTGGCTTTGTGGGGTCTCCATGAAGCCATCTTGCCCACTGGCCAAGTGCCCAGGTACCTGGTAGGCTGGGGAACTTTGCCTGAAGAAGCTAAAGCCGAGCATTCTAGTTGCTCCTGACTTAGTTTAGCCTAGCATGCCCCAAAGTCGGGTTCTGACCCATCGTTCTAAGATACTTACCCTGATTTCAAAACTAGGCACTTCTTTGGAGGCAGGAAGAATGCAAGGTTCAGTATTTCAGTATTTTCTGTCTTCTTTAAAACTGCCCTTAATGTCAGAGATATTTTTTTTATGTGAAGACTTTTTCGGGATTAGGAGGGACATGTCATTTCCTCCTTGACAAAACATCATTCTGAGGTTCTTGTGTGCATTTTTGGAAACAGATAGGGTTTTGTAGAGTTGTCTTTTGAGTATGTGTTCTTTTTTTCTTTTCTGAAATCCCCAGAGAAGGAGACTGGTTAAAAGACTAGAAATATTAAAGTATTAAATGCCAGTTAATTTGTTGTGCTAAAGTATCTTTTCAATAGTGTTATAATCCATCCTGTTTGGTATCAACTGCTCACAAAAAAGCCTGTGAAACCCAAGGGGACAATTTAGGTCTATAAAGAGAGATCTTAACCAGCTTTGTCCCCTCCGCATTTTTTAAGAGGACATTTCAAAGGATTTGCCTACTAGATTCTGGTTTTATCTTTTTTTTTTTGGACATGGAATGCAGATGCAGAGTTCTTTCCTAGGAAGGATGGGACTGGACAGGGATGGGATGGAACCAGTCTATGCGAAACTAACCCAGATTTCTGTATTACCTTGGCCTGTTTCTTCAAAAAAAGAAGGTCTTTCATTATGGGTTGCTGTGAGTTTTGTTAATGTTTGTGTTGCTGGACTTATGGTTAAGTGAAGCATGTAGCTGGAATATGAGCTTCTTGAGTTTTCACATTGTCCCGAATTTCTTTTTGCAAACCTTTAAACCTTAGCCCCTGGTTGATTGTGTTAAAACCATTATGAGAATGTTATTTAAAGTTGTATTATAATTGCCACCTCCACTAATTATTCAGTACTGTAGCAGCAAAATATTATTTGTAAGAATTTGGTTATTTTTATACTTATATCTACTTTAAGTCTGGCGTTCTAGTCAGTAAATGATGCAATAAAATGAATATCATTTTCATTGTGTGTTTTTCTCATAATAACAAGCAAACAGAGTGCAGCAAGTTACCTTTCATGAGTTAACAATGGAACTGTACAGGGAACTCTTGTGTGGCAAATGTAGGGATTGAGTCATTTCTGGATCCTCAGTGCCCAGCACAGTGAAGAAATATACTTTTGATGATGGATGGATGGACAGACAAACTGACCTAAATGATAAAAAGCCTAATTCAGGTCTAACAACTGCTTTTGTTTACTTTCCTTTCTATGGATTAGAGAATATAGATAACCAGTTCAGATGGTCAGCATTTCCTCCTGAATGCCGCCCCCCAACCACTTTGGAAGGGAGGGCGGGAAGCATGTCTGTGCTCCATGGCAGGGAGAATCCATGGAACTTTAAGACAGTGGGCCATGAGCCTTACACTTGCGCTGGCCAGTGAATGTGGCTGTCTGGCTAGATGGATGTTCATTAATTATTTGCTTCCTTCAGTGCCTTTCATGGCAGGGATGGGTGAGCCTCTCAGACGCTTTATGACAGAAATCTTGGTCACTTGGAGAGGCTAATCATGTCAACTTGGCGCCTGAAGGTGAACTTTAGGCACATTAGATCAGGGTTGCAGCCCATCAGACAGCTTGGAATGGAGATGACCAGCAACACTCTCCTCTCCTGACCCGGCTCCCCAACGGAAATCTCAGCAGGACCCCAGGACTGAGCCCTCTCTTTTTCCTACCCACCTCAGCTAGCCATCACAGCATTTCCAGACCCACTCACCCCTGGAATCTGTTTAGGGCCTAAAAGCGGGTCTATTGCTATCCACTGACAAGCTGGCCAGAGTGCTTGTCCTACTTGTGCATCTGACCGGATTTGATTCGCCAGTAAGTAAAGATCTAAAAAATATTTTTAGACCCTTGGGCTTAAAGGACATCATCAATGCACACTGAGTTGTTCCAGTTGCTTGGGAAGTGACAAAAGATAAGGGGCATAGACCAGAGTCCTTCTGTATTGGATACTGGATGGCCAAGACAGCTCTGAATCCCCATACCTGGGTTGTGGAATCATGCAACCATCTGACACAGCGAGCATGAACTTCAGAAAGAAAGAAGACAGATGCCAGGGACGCCTGGGTGGCTCAGTCAGTTAAGCGTCCCAACTCTTGATTTTGACTCAGGTCATGATCTCAGGGTTGCAACATCGAGTTCTGTGTTGGGCTCACACTCAGCATGGAGTCAGCTTAAGATTCTCTCTCCTTTCTCCTCTGCCCCTCCTCCCACTCGCACATGCGAGCTCTCTCTCATAAATAAATAAATAAATAAATAAATAAATAAATAAATAAATAAATAAAATCTTTGAAAAGAGAGAGAGATGCCAAGAATAAAGATATTTATTGATTTTTACTGACCTCATAAAAACTTACAGCACCACTGGAAGCCCTGGGCTCTGACCGCTGGTACAACACATTCTGTAAATTTCATGGCTGTTCTTCCCAGATCATGATGTCAGGCCAAAGTGGCTGCTCAGCTCTCTGAGCCTCGGAGTCCTGATCCCTGAGGCAGGGATAATAATTATTGCCTTGCAGAGTTGCTGTGAGGATTCAAAGGGAGAATCACGTGAGAACACTCTGTGAACTACAAAGAAACGCAACCCAAAGAGAACATACCGGTTCTCTTCAGGAGGGTACTCTGGTCACCAAAAGAAAGACAATTGCAGAATTAATATGTTATCTCAATGCTGATTCACTAGTAACTGGTCCCAAAGACCTTGGACTTGCTGTCAAAGTGTTCCTGTCATTTCCCCTCCCCTCCCCTCTTCTTGCTCCCCATATTGCAAAGGATTTAATGAGCACAAAACTGTAAATCTGTAAGGGTGGGAATTAAGACTGTCCTGTTGAACAAAATAGAATGAGTGAGTAAGTGAGAAGACGAACCTTGCAACAGAAGAAATACACTGAAGTTGAAGGTCCTAGGGACTTTGTCGCTCTAGGAGCTGCAGGCTGGTGACTCCCTGAGAGCAAGCATGTGCACGGCTGTGACGCGGAACTGAACAGGAACCCTTAGCAAAGATCTCTTGTAGCAAAGCCCAAGCAGGCACGTGTAGAGGAAACACTTTAAAGATGAGCTAGGAAGCCCTTCACCTGATGAGCTGGGGAACAACGGTACAATGGACTAGTACTCAGCAAAGAAAAGGAACAAACCACCGCAGTAGGTAGGTAGCCCCATGCTGGAGTCTCAGAACCATGTGCAAAGTGAAAAGAGCCAGAGAGAAAAGCTTCACACCGTGTAATTCCATCTATATTACATTCTGGAAGAGAAAAACTGTGGGGACAGAAACCAGAGGAGTGGTTACCTAGAGGTGGGGAGGAGGATTTCTGTGGTTCACTAAAAAAATTTCCAGCTTTCCTCCTTCCAGGCACAAGGTAGGATGCACTTCCCCACCTCTTGTGAAATATGGCCACGGGACTTGCTTTGGCCAAAGAAATGTGAATGAAAGTGAAATGTGTCCCTTCCGGATGACACTTTAAGAGCCAGTGTGTGAGGTTCACTTCTCTTGCCTCTGCAACCATGGACATACACATTGAGACTGAGCCGCTACTGTTGGCCTGGGACCCTGGCTCTCTGGGCTTGGAAATGTCCTGTTGTTTTGTGAAGGCACTGAGATTCAGGAGTCACCTGCTGTGGCATTACTTGGTCCATCCTGACTAGTGCAGCACTCTTTAATTAACACTAGTTTAACTGTAGCTTGTATGAATTGCTTGGTTCCTAGTTCAATGCCATGGAATATTTACGATTATCATTGAAATTCTTTCAATTTGTTTGGTTGGGTTGTTGTTGTTGTTGTTGTTGTTTTTAACAAGAAGTCACATTGGGAACATTCAATAGTGGCTAATGTTTTCTGAGCCTGCTGCTGAGGCTTTGTGATATGAGTGAGTTTTGAGCCAGAATGACCTAGGTTTGAAAGAGCTTATTACCTATGAGATCTTTTTTTTTTTTTAAGATTTTATTTATGTATTTGAGAGAGAGAGGGAGCACAAATGGGGGGAAGGACAGAGGGAGAAGCAGATCCCACCGCCTCCCCCCGCTCCCCACCCCCTGCCAGCTGAGCAGGGAGCCCAGCCCAGGACTCCATCCCAGGACCCCGGGATCATGACCTGAGCTGAAGGCAGACGCTTAACGACTGAGCCACCCAGGCATCCCTAGCTGTGTGATCCTGATGAATTTCTTTATTATTCTGATCATTAATTTCCTCCCCTATAAAATAGAAATAATGAGATCCTAATTCAGAGGTATGTGGAGAGATTAAATGATAGGATGTCTCTAACTGTATCTAAACAATAGGATGCATCATTTAGCTCTAGCCTGGGATGAAGCCAACATTGAACAGATGTGTGTTCCAGGCTCCCTGGTAGGCATGCTTGTTTGTATAAAACTAGAATATTGGTTCCTCTGTCTTTCCCTCCTGCTTACTTCACGGTTGCCAAGTCCCATTGTAAGGCATTATCACTATGAAATCAAGAAGACAAAAGTTATTTTGAGCAATATGCTATAATGTTATACTCCATGGGGAACTTGATCTATATTTAGCCCAGTGATGACTAGGGAAATTGAGGAACAAGATCTGTCTTTCTTGTCTCTCCACACCATCACCCCAACCATAGAATATCTTCTTCCTTACTTTGTTATTGGTTGGTTCACATTTCACATTGAGACTGATTCCTTTGTAAAGACCAAGGGACCAAGGGACTGGGATCATAACCTGGGAAAGCAAGAACAGGTGCACCTTTGCTCACAGAATCCTAGAATATGCGACCTGGAGAGCAAGGCAGTGAGGTCATCCTGGCCCGTGGTTTACAAAACCTTCCCTTGGAGAGGGGCTGGGCCAGGGAGAAGTCATGGCTGGGCTGAGGCCAAATGCATGAAATAAGTGGTCAGTTTCTCAAAAAGTTAAATTTATTCAATTTAAATGCAATATCTTTAAGAGATACTGTCTTTTCTACTTTTTTTTAGTTATAAAAATGTCCTTTATTTTATGAAACAATGGTAATAGCAGATGGTAGTTCTTTCTTCCTTCTTCCTCCCCTCCCTCCCTTCCTTCCTTCTTTCCTTCCTTCCTTTGTGTGTGTATGCGCCCACATCACTAGTTTGGGACATATCACTAGTTGTTGTTGTTGTTGTTGTTGTTGTTTAACACCTTTGAAGCTGAGAACCACTGACATGGTCCATCTGGGCCATTTTATGAAAGAGGACATTGAGGCCCTATGAGGCCAAGTTACTCTTCCCAAAGTTTCCTGTTGCCCCTGGTAGTTGTGCAAGACAGAGGCAAAGTCATGCAGTGCTTAGAAGAGCACAGGCCTCGGAGACAGATGTGGATACAACTCCTGGGCTCAGATGAGCTACTCAATAGGATAGGCCCTTGACAAAGCATCGCATCCCTCACATAGTAGTTGTCATTGGTTTTTTCCCTTTTTTAAAACTAAATTAGTGTCGGGGCGCCTGGGTGGCTCAGTTGTTAAGCCTCTGCCTTCGGCTCAGGTCATGATCCCGGGGTCCTGGGATCGAGCCCCGCATCGGGCTCCCTGCTCCACGGGAAGCCTGCTTCTCCCCCTCCTTCCTGCTCGAGCTCTCTCTCACTATCTCTGTCTCTTTCAAATAAATAAATAAAATATTAAAAAAAAAAAACCTAAGTTAGTGTCAAGTATGAAAAGGAAGTCCCCTTCAAAAGGACAGAGTCAAGGTGGTCTCAGACTTTACAGCAACATGTAAAGCTTGAGGGCAATGAAGCAATATCTAGGAGTTATTCATTTCATCATGAAAGCAATAGGCAGAGATTGTCTAAAAGAAAATATTTTAGGGAACCCAGCACCCAAGAAAAATTACTCCATAGTGAAGTCCTGCCAGCCAAGAGAAAAATCAAAATATTGAATACAGGAGTGGAGAAGCCACGAGGTTAAGTATTGAAACTGTTTAGCTTAAAACTAAGACTGAAGAAAAAGAATTAAAATTTAGGAATAGAATAGAAATGTTA